TCTTCTTGTCCTTCTTCGAGGATTTCTTGTGCACTTTCTTGGTCTTCTTACTCCGGGTGCGTGAGTCGTCTGAGAAATCATCTTGTTTCTCATATGGACGCTTCACGGAAGCTGAAACCGACGATTCGCTCTCCAAATCTCCATCATGATACCTGCCTCTCCTTGCATCTGTTCGTTCTGCTTGACTGCTTCGACGGTCTTCGGCATCTTGGCGATCTGCTGGCTTGTGACTTTGAGCAAGTCCAAACTTCGACCTGGTGGCATTGAGATACTTGATCGCATTACTGTGATCCGGTTGAATCTCGAGGGCCTTCGAAAAAGCTTCGATAGCTTCATGCGACTTTGAGGTGTTGGCATAGGCTGCCCCCAGCGCTACGTAAGCATCTGCGTTCTCGCTGTCTAGCTCCAGGGCGTTCTGATAGCATTTGATTGCCATGACATAATTCCTATCAGCCGCGTGATGGATTCCTTTGCGCACACTCTCATTTGCCCACGACACATTCTGTTTCTTCCGAAGCTCGGAGTACGACATTGTCTCTCGTTTCTTGGAAGGATCAAGGAACAATCTTGCTTCGGGTTGAATCCTGAACGACGCAGCCATGTGCTGAACAGCATAAGGATTCCAAAACAGAGGGTCTTTCCTAAGCAGATCATTCAGATCAAAGAAATCACTGCCGTTGTTGGACGAGGAGCTGGGGTCCTTGTCATCATGGTCTGCAGTCCGCGTGCTCGGCAGTTCCCCAGGGCCCCACCAGGATCTGAGATTCCAGGGCTCAGGGCAGTAGCCCAGGACAAGAGATTGTGAAAGCTGAGGATTGATTCTTGATTGCCGCATGCTGAGCACAACGTGCTCGTAGTGGGACTCCACTTTTGTGATCACCATCAGCAGGTGCGATCCTTTCCTGAAGTTGGAGATCACTTGGTTGAACTCCGATGCCTGGATCCCGTCATACAACTCCTCAGCAGGCACCAACCCACGTATGTCCAGAGCTCCAAGATTCTCAGGAATCTTCCTTGCGGCAATCGCTCGCCCTTCATGGGCGTCCCATTCTGCAACTCGCTCCAGTCTGACTTGCAACCCGTGCGGCAGATTATCCAACACTTGGCCCAGTGCAAGCAAGTCATGACGGAGAGCGCAGACAGCATTTCTCCTCTCCTCCAGCTTTCTTTCACTGCGTATTCCAGCAAGTGCTTCCTTCATGGATGGAACCCTCGCAAACCCGAAAAGAGATTGAGTACCCGCCCCAGTCTCCCGCCCCTCCTCGGACGGAGCTCTTTCCGACAATATATACTTGAAGGCAAGATCAAACACCCCTCCTCTACGCATCCGCTCGACTCGTTGTATGAGTGACTCTCCCGTTGACTTGAGCGCCATGCACATGTCTTTCTGTTCATCAATAGAGGAAACCAACCTGTTGGCTGGCCGCTGATCAGCGACACTTGCTACATGGCAATTGGCGTGACTTTGAGCGCCCTGAGAGCCTCCTCGATCAGGATCACGGCGGCCCCCGATCTCTCCATCATCAATCCTCACTTTCTCTCCTCCCCCTCCCCTCCCCTCTCCTTGTCCCCCGCCCTCCTCGCCTCCCTCAGCCGCATGTGGTGCTTCCATTATCCTTCTACCCCACCCCTCGTTCAATCCTTTGGAACCCCACCATTCTACTCTCCATTCGGTTGCGGTAAAGAGGTGGGTAGGGGTATTAGGTGCGGTCATGGTTACTTCAACCCACCCCTGGATATCTGTGTCAGAAATATGTAGACAGAGGGGTGATCTACCACCCTACCCCCTTCGTCCAAACTGAGTACCGATTCGATCAATATCTTGTGCTTGCTAGCCCTTCCGCTCTCGGTCCTCCATGCAGCCGCTCTGCCCCCTCCTCTCACCGTAGCTGTCGCCCCGCATCACTCAGGATGTACTTCGTACGCCATCTACCTCACACTTCTCCCTCCTCCTTGCTCTGTCCTAGCTCGTTCAATACGCCGTTTGCTAGTTCACACGTTCCTTGCGTCATCTTCCAGACGTCTCCTGCTACACCTGGAACATATCTCGGATTGTGCAGGCAGCTCTTTGCTGGTTTCCCCTCGGTGCACTTGAGTGAAATCCTTCGATTCCAGACTGGAAAGCGGGAAAACATAACCAGTTTATACAAGGCTGTTGAAATAATGATCACGTTCATGACATGAATAAACATGATGGAGATATTTTGGATACATCATTTCAGTCTGTTCATTTTCCATTAGGAATTGCTCTGGATGCTGATAGATCAATCCATTTTGCAAAAGATCAAGAAACCAGTTTTAATTACATTTTTCTTCGTAATTCTACACAAACAATAGATCATTACTATCACTCAAACAATCACTCTCACTTATCACTTATTCTCTGGCTATCTCCACTATCGAGCTCTGATACATCATCTGACCATGGTCAGACATTCGAATTGACAAGAGCCGTATAGAAAACTGGATCGAAGATGCCTTTTTCGTACAGCTGTTAGTGTGCGACAACCTCAAAATCAACACAGTAAACTGGCAATCGAAATGCGCAGCTCAGTGGCACTCAGTGCATCCGTGTAAGTACAGATCTTGCATCGATTCCTTTGCCGCTTATGGATGCAAATCTGTGACCCTAGGCACTCGCGACAAAAACTTCGTTGCCTATTGTGTTCGCAGATAGCAGAACCTCCACATTCTTTACAAAGACATCTTTGTCTGCCATGGTGACAAATCTGAGATCCACCACAGTCTTTGCAGATTGTCCTCCTCCTGTTATGAGGGCAGAACGATCCCTTCTGCAGTGCTCCAGGACTGGTGCTGCATTCCTTGCATTTGCTTCTTTGCTTGTCGTGTTCACAAATGCCCGATCCTTTGCAGAGCTTGCAATACCTTCTTTCTTTCCCATGCTCGCATCGAGCATGACGATCGCGCGGAGCAGCAAGGACTGATCGAGGAGCTGCTGGCATCACAATGGGGGAGGGGCGATGGACGCAAAGGTTCCTTGCCGTGTGCTATTATAGAAGCCCTGCCGGGGAGAGGGTAGGGGTAGTTTCCCATGATTTCCGTGATAATGAAGGGGTGGGGTGGTATAAATATATTGATCTGAGAAACGGGGTGGTCCTTATACAAGGCGGGGGTACAATTTGAAATTTTAGTCAATAAAGGGGGCACTTTTGTATTAGTAAAATTTGAAAGGCAGCAAGATTGAGGTACCATATTGATTATGAAATGTGATGGGGACAGCATCAATGATGACCGAAGAGGGGGTAGGGTGGTCTGCTACTGTAAAAGCACTTGTGAGAGAAACAGCAAGGTTGGATGACAACAAGGGGGTAGGGGGTAGGGAATTGCTGAAAGACGAAGGGTATGGATGTCCTGACTAGGGGTGGAATGGTATAAAGAAATGGATAAAACAGCCAGTGGGGTTCTTTTTACAGGGGTAGGCATTGGACGAAGGTGGGTCCGAATGGGGACAAGGGGGTGTTTGTGACTACACACTTCTGTTGAAGCGAAATCGGGGTAGGGTCCAAAAAGTTGTGGGTGGGTGGATCCAAGTAGGGGTCCATTTCCAAAGGATATTGGTAATTGATATGGGTGGGTGGAACGAAAAAGCTGGTAGGGTGCTGTGTAAGATTAAACTTGAGGGGTGGTGTGGGGAAGGTCCTGTAGCTGTAAGTTAGCAGGTCCAGATGTCAGCGCTCAACAAAATTTTACTCATCAAGTTTGAAACTCCGACCGTCGTCCGATCACGGTCACCGGCCCGCCATGATCGCCGGGACTGATGCCGGTTCAACCGCCGCAGTAGTCTGAGCCGCGCGGCCCGGGCCGGCTCGCCGAGGAGGCTCAGGCCCGTCACCGTCCGAACCCGGGCCGTCACGACTCGCCGAGTCGGACCGTCCGACCGCCGCGGCGGCGCGTGTGCAGTGCCGGGCGGCTGCCGCCGCAGTCGGCAACGCCGAGTCGGAGAGTTTCGCCCGACGTTCGGACGTACCGGGCCAAGCTTCTGGCCGCGGGCAACCGTGTGAGTGGCAAAAACGCCGGGCGGGCCAACGCCGGTTCGGTTGCCCGGCCGCAGGCTCAGTAGTAAGCAGTCTGGCGGCCGCGGCTCGTTTAGGTGATCAGTGATAACGGAAATCAACGGTGTGTAACTTACATGTAACTGCTGTCTCTTCGCTGGTTGGTCTCAGGTTGATGGTAAGCAAATGATGTGAGAGGAGGCGGGGAGATAGCACAAACAGGTGGCAGAGTGGTAGAGGAACAATGGTGAGAAGAAGCTGGAGATGTGTCTCTCAGTAGGAAGAGGAGTTTAAGAGCAGTCATGTTTTGTTGTAGAGTTATATATCGAAGTGTCGATGCTGTATAGTATGAAAAGGAGAAGAGGGGGAAAGGGGGGAAGATGCGATGTTGGAGGTGCATTTTTTGGTTGTGTTG